GAAGCATAGATTCCCGTAAGTCGTTCTCATGAGCCGACGGTAAGTCGGCACGGGATCTCCCCATATAGCGGGGGAAGGTCACCGCCACCTCCCGAGGAAAAACTTGCACTACTCTAACGGGATTAACGACCTTAGCACTTGACATGTCCCTGGAATCAGAATCAAGCAATCAAAACCAAGACACTTAGCGCTGTTGTAGACTCGAAAGGGAAGCACTATTATAGACTGGCAAATGACTTCCGCATTTGCGAACAGCGAGTGACGTAAAATTCTGACGACCGGCTGGCAAAATCGGACAATACAGCACGGCGCGTAACGTGCAACCTAATTCCCCGACAGTTTGAATTTTGTTTTTCAACGGACCAGGCTTATAAGCACCACTTTCTGTCCGTTATAGACGAAGAGCTTGCTGGTCAGTAACGGAGCATTTCTCAGCGAAATGCTTTTAATATTGACTGATTGATTAGTGATTCCGGATGCGTCAACTGCTCAGGTCATTAGTCCCGGAAGTGTAGTACATGTTTTATCGCGGAAGGTGGTCCGACGCCGACCTATTTCTCGGCTTGCGCGGTTTTCCTTAAGCAGGTATCTCCCACCAGCGCACCCCAGAGCTCTTAAGTTCCCGACAGGTCTGCCAGCATGTGTGAAAGAATACAAGAGTATGTAAGTGAGGGGTGCGGATAGGATGAAGAAGAGGAAGGAAAGATTGCGCGCGGTCTGTGATTTCTTTTTTACGATACTGCTCTGGTATTCACCTGGTGTTGATTGGAGAAACCGTGGAAAACTACATAGCAGAGCAGTCGACCCATAGAATTTTCTTCCAGACAGCAGTTGAACATCGATCTAGCTGACAAGCTAGTGTCGAAAATCCTGCCAAAGTCGGGCCACGAACCGTAGGACCTCCCAGTCAGAGGTACTGCAGTGACATCACCTGATGCCCTGAGCCACCTTAGTCAGTCGACATTAAAACAAATTGTTGATCAAATTGAGGAGAAGACAATTATTGTGCTTTTTTTTAGTTGACGAACGAAAAGAGAACAAAAATATGACAACTTATAGGTACTAACAGAATTTATTTATGAAAGTATATTTGTGTTAGTATGACTAGTAACTTAATAGAAAATTTGTAAGATTCTGTTGATAATGTTGAAGTTATTGTCCATAACCAAAAATTAAAAAGACAATATTTTATTACAAGGAAGTATTTAATTATTTTTACAAGGAAGGAAAGAAAGCAAGGAAAAAGAGAAGCAACATGGATAGATAAATATGATAACTAATGGTTGATGAGCCTGGCAGCTTACCTCATTGGCCAGTGGGGCCATATCCGTGACGCGACCCCGGTTTCGATTCCCGGTCAGGGGATTTTATAGTGTCCGTTTTCCTTGCAATGTCCCAGTATATGTTGCTGTGTGAGGATGAGAAAATTCATTTCTCAGGTTGTCAAGACGAGAATACGATTTGGGGATGTCTTCGTGCTAACCTCACGTGCCGCCTTAACTCCTGGCCAGGAGCCTGGGGCGTCGCTAGTAGGCCTTGGCTCGTACACGGACCGACGCGCGAAGTAGAAGTGATGGACAAATGAATGATGTAACATGAGTGCAACAATGACCTTCGTCGCAGCCTACCCGCGCTGAGGTGAACGGCCGTTTGGATGGGGCCAGGCCCTTCTCCAATTTCCGGCCCGGGGAAAAAACGAGAAAAAAGGCTAGAAGGACGAGGAAGGAGGAGGTGATAAAAAGAGGGGCGCAGGTTGGAAAGCAAAAAGGAGAATTACTACGATATTTATGCTTATAGTAAGACTAAATCTGTTAGATTGCTTCTCAAAAAGGAACATTGCGGATGATTACAGATTACGGAAAATGGAACTACAGTGTGGATGATGAAATTATTTGCAATAACGATTTATGAACGTAAATATGTGTATGTATACGTGGAAGAAGAGATTCGGAGCGAAAAGATGATAAGAATTCATTCATTTTAAAAAAAAGGTACACTTTCCCATCATGATACTCACTTCTCTAAACGTAAGTAACCATGGCATAAACGTAATAACGAGTGTAACAGAAATAAAACAACAACTTTAAGAGAACGAATCAATATTATGAGCAACAATGAATGACTATCACAATCCCATCAAGTCTTAAATGCACTGAGAAAGTGTTTGAAGTGAAGGAGAAAGACCTGGAATAGTAAAACGACCCAAGAACGAACACGACACAACAACTGTTATATTGTTACTCGCATTTTGTCAGTGAGTTCGTTTACAGTTAGCTCATTTTTAAATGCCTTCATTATTATTTTTTGCGAAATCATCGCCCTGTATGACGTGAATCCTGTATGACGTGAATCATCGCCCTGTGAAACTGGTCCCTTCTTAGAATAACTCTTCTATACTTCGATTTTTCTATAGTGGCCGTTGAAAACGAGAAAGCGATAAGAATAGTCAGACGTCTGGGGTTCTGTGATGCTCATTTTTTTACGAAACGAGCTTCGCATACTCGCTATGTACACTATCTGTAAGTTGTTTGATGTGGAGAAACGTGGAAAAACTACTATAGCAGAGCTAAAGATCAGACCCCAGAGTATAGTAACATTACCGCAGAAAAGCAGTATTAGCGACAATGCCGCAATGCTAAACGCCCTGGAAAAAACTATGTTGTTCGAAAATTCATGCCGACAAGTCGGAGCCACAGGAACGGAGGAAAAAACAACTTTCAATCCCTATTTCAGATGGCTCACCTTTAGGAGGCCACATGCTGACATACACTCCTTTGCATGTTAACACTCCTGACAGCACCTTTCAGATGCTAGACTTACGACACTTAAACAAATTGGATGGAGGACAGAAACATTGAGGTTCACCAAGACAAATATTGTCGTGCTTTTGTTTTTAGTTGAATCAGAAAGCGTAAAAGAAACAAAAAATAAATGACACACTCCTAGTAGTTTAGTCCTAGAAACTCACAGACGCTTGAAAACAATGAAGCCCTAACATAATCCCAAGAAATTCTCGGGCATTTATGAATATAGAAAGTAATAGGTTTTGTGTATATAATGCACTAAAGATCAACTTTAATAGAAATAATATTTTATCAGATTCTCTAGTAATGTTCAAGGTTTGAAGTTATTTATATCTCATTGAACCAAGACAAAACAATTAAAATAGACAATATTTTCATTACAACTTGGAAGTCACTTGTAAATATAGCAAGGGAAGGAGCATAAGCAAGGTCAAAAAGAGTAACACATGGATACTGTGGTGAATATCTATGAACTATTGATGGAAAACTAACTCGATGAGTTCACCTGGTCAGGCCTTACCGAATCATTGGCCAGTGGGAGCTCACAATCCGTGAACCGCAGACCCGGCTTGCAAACAAATGAAGCCAAAAACCAAAAATTTGGGGGCACCGAGTACGAGAGAGATTTGCCGCGGATCAAAAAGAGGATTTTAATAGTGTCCGTTTCCTCTCGCCAATGATCTCCATAATATGTAAATTTCGCACGTTAGAGTGAGGGATAAGAGCATACAATATCCATCTACTAGATGTTCCAAGAAGCGAGGATGATACCGTAACATTTGGAGGACAATGTCCTCTCGTTACATAACCGTACACGTTGCGCATCTAGTTAACTCCTGCCAGGCAGCGTGCCGAGTAGAGACTTGCCGTACATCGAACCGACGCGACGCAAGTAAGAGCGCAGTTGATGACACAAAATGTTAAATGGAACATCGCATAAAACCCCATAGAGGGCTATAGGCGAGGCAGCACGTAATGCGTGCAGCAGCCCTGCAACTTGCGCTAGAGTGTGAATACTGGAACCGTCTACGGATGGGGCCAGGCCTTCTCCAATTTCCCGGCCGGGGACACCACACGAGAAAAAAGCTAGAAGGACAGGAAGGAGGAGGTGATAAAAAGAGGGGCGCAGGTTGGAAAGAAAAAGGAGAATTTACTACGATATTTATGCTTATCGTAAGAATAAATCTTGTTTGATGCTTCTGCAAAAAGGAACATTGCGGATGATTACAGATTACAGACAATGAATACAGTGTGGATGGAATGAAATATTTGCATATAACGTTTATGAACTTAATATGTGTATAATATACGTGGAAGAAGATATTCGAGTGAAAAATGATAGCATTCATTTCATTTTAAAAAAAAGGTACCTTCCCATCAATGAATACTCACGTTCTCTAAACGTAAGTAACCATGGGCGCTAAACGTAATAACGAGTGTAAGACAGACATAAAACAACTTTTAAGAGAACGAACATCAATATTATGTGCAACAATGAATGACTATCAGAATCCCATCAAGTTTTAAATGCACTGGAGAAAGTGTTTTGAAGCGAAGGAGAAGAGACGCGGAAATAGTAAAACGACCTATGAACGAACACGATAGAACAACCTGTTATATTGTTACTCGTTTGCAGTTAGCCTATTTGTAAATGCCTTCATCATTATTTTTTGCGAAATCATCGCCCCTGTATGACGTTCCTTTTATCAGTTTCCTCCGATCGACCTGTGGAATACTGGTACCCTTCTTAGAATAACTCTTCTATACTTCGAATTTTCTATAGTGGGCCGTTGAAATTTGAGGTAATTACTAAACTCCTCCCTTATGAAATTATAGTTTTAATTAGTTCGCGAACAGATTCGCAAGGGGGGCTCGTGCCACAGAAATGGGCTTACCCTGTTAAAAAAGATTCATTTTAAAAGGCAGTAGCAGCTGTTAACAATGACCTAATGTACCGGCTACTGTAGAAAAATTCGACGTGAGTTAACATGTACCGGGATGCAGGTTCCGCCTTTGAGGTCGAATGCCCCGCGCGTCTTCGGGAGAGGCCCTTCGTTCCGGCGCGTGCGCCGCGGCTACGGGGCGGGGCTGCGCGGCGGCGGCGGCGCGGCAA